ATAAGAATCCAAATGATTTTTTCCAACATTTTTTACAAATTAAATTAAATAAACTTAATTTATTATCACTTATAAAATCTTTCCATATTTTATAAATATAATTATCCGACTGTTTAAAAATAATTAAAAAATTTAAATTGTTTCTTATAATTTTTAAATTCACAGCAATATAACTTTGTGTTAAATAAATACTACAAATATTTTTATGTCGACCTCTTATAAAATATTTTTTCATTATTGATTGATTTTCTAAAATACAATCATCAAAAATAACTAAACTATTCGGTTTACATTCATCAACAGAAACTATACCTTCATTTAGAAATAAATGTTTCGATTTCATCTATATCATTAAATACTTCTTCTAATTTCTCATAAATCGGTTGATCAACGGTTTTTGTAAAAATATAAAGATTTTCAAAAGGAATCCAAAAATTTATTATAATATTCCACAATAAATTTGTTTTTCCAGAACCTAAACTTCCTACAATTAAACAATGTAGTGGTATAGGAAATATAGATTCATGATTATCTTTTGTTCCCTGATATGGAAATTTGTCTATATTTTTATATTTATCTAAAATTTTCTCAAGTTTATTATGCTCTTTTGACATGTTTATTAAAGAAAATATTTATTAAAAAAAAATTTTAAAGATTAAAATCTTTAAAATTATTATTTTAAATTCATACATCTCCAATATATTTATAACCATTAAGTTCAGTTTCTTTCAAATATTTTTCTCTAGGAAAAAATTGTATATTTTCTAAAAAATCTTTTGTTCTTCATTGATTTTTTGAGCTTTAAATAACAACATTTGATTGTAAAATTTATAAACTATTAAAAATTCTGATATTTTTTCGTTTTGATTAATATTTTTCTCAAAGAGAATAAGAATTCCATTAACAAGAGATAATGTTGCTAATATTGGATTATAAATAAATCCTAATGATCCAATTGTAGTTGAAAACAACTTTAAAATAAGTATACATAAACTAAGGTTGTTATAGAAATTATAACTTTTGTGATATACATACATTCTTTTTTCTAAATATTCATTCATCATCTGTTTATTAAACTAAGATAAACAATAAATTCTGTAAATTTATTAAATATATTCCCTTCTAAGTCAAAAATATTTAATTTAATGTTTTGAATTTTTTCTGATTTATTAGTATATAAGTTGTAGTTGATGGTTTTATTATCAAATTATCTTGTGGGTTGTTAAAAATAAATAAAAGATCTTCTTCATAGTGAATATTAACATTTTCTTTATGATTGGATATAGATTTTTCGACTATATTACAATGTAATTCTAAGGGAATATTAGATGTTTTACTTGTTGGATAAATTCCAATTTTCGAAAAATTATCAAACTTAATCCCTAGATTATCACAAAGAATATTATCAAACATAAAATTATTTTCTTAACTTTTAATTTCAATTAAATTATTATCGGAAACTTTTATTTTCATTTTAAAATATTGTTTAATTGTTCAATAATATAGTTCGATTTATGAATATTAATAGATAAACCATTATCAAAATATATGTTTCCTTCTATGTTGCTTAAATATTTTACATTATTTAAATTTGGTGTTTTTTCAGCAGTTTTAGTAAAAAAAATTTTTCCAGTCTCAATATATTTTTGAGTAGGCCATCTATAACCGAATAATATTAAATATTTTGTAACATTGCTATCTTCTATTTTATATTCAAAACCTAGACAATCAGATAAATATGAATCAAACCCAATATTAAATGGAGATGATATTTTTAATAATCCGTTTCCAAGTGTAACTTTTGTGGTTTTATTTAGACTTTTTTCTAGGTAACTATTAAATATTTTTTCAAGAAATTTTAATGAATACAATCCAACTCTTAATGTACTCGTTTTTATATGTCTGTTTCTCCCAATAACAAATTTACATTCTTGATTAATTTGTACAATCTCATCTTCCAGATTAGGTAATATAAATTTTAATGGACAATATCCAACTATGGTATTATTCATTGTATTAAAATAATTTTCTTTTTCAAGATCAAAACCTAAATATTTGTTTAACTTTTTGTCTAAATTAAAAAAACAGGGGATTAGATATTAATTTTATTTTCTTTTATAGAAATTATTAAAGGTTTAACAATTTTATTTAATTCATCTATATTATATTTTCCAGATTTTAATTCAATTATATTTCCTTCAACTTTTAATAAACAATCTGTTTCAATATTTATTAAATTTGAAGTAATATGTAAACCTATAACACCAACAAATAAATTATCTCCAAATATAGGATTTTCTAACCTTATAAATCCGTTTTTTTTTTTTATTATTATCATTTATTATAAATAATATTTTTTAATTTAAAATAAATTAAATCAAAAAGTTATATTTGTTTTCTTATATTACAATAAAAATATGAGTATTGTTTTTTAAATAATTAAGAAATTTAAAGAGTTATATTCCTGAAGCATTAGTATTAAATAATCAAGAAATAATAACAGAATAATTAAAAATAGAAATTAAAATTTTGTTTAATAAATTAATAACTAGTCCCCTCTTACAGAGGGGACTTAATTATAACGAATTAAAAACAATTTATATAAATAAATCTGGTTTATATTCTCTTATTTTTAAATCCAAAATGAAAGAAGCTAAATTATTTACAAAAGTGGGTTACTTCTGAGGTTCTTCAAACTATACATAAAAAGGAGAATACAAGTTTTTTAATTTAAAATAAATTTAAAAATTGAACTAGAAAGAATATATAAAAACTAATAACCGTTCAAATTCAATCAAATAAAATATTTTATTGTTATTTAGTTGTTTTACACCTTTACATACCAAAAAAAAATGCTCTTGTATGTTTTTATTGATTGTTTCAATTTCCCTATGAGAAAAATTATTTAAAAATCTATCAGGTAAAAATAATTTAAATTTATCATCTAAAATAATANTTGTTTTATCAATACTAAAATATTTACATAAATATTTCTGATCAATTTCTAAATCACTTAATTTAATGAATTTATAATTAAAGGTGCCGCTTTTTAATTTAATTTTAAAGTTTTTCATTTATTATAGAAAATATTTTTTTTAACTAAGGTTCAACATTTTTTTTTAAAAAGAAAAATATGGAAAAAATTTGCAATAGTTTTCCAATTCGATCATATCGCCGGCCACCGATTTTTTTACTATCACATGTTTTTCATATATTATTTTTTTATACATGATTGGATTGGGTAAACTATTAACACTATTGTTCTGATCTATTTATATCTGTCATATGATCGCACTAATCTAGAATTGCGGTTGCACACGAGTGGATACACCGTGGATATGCTACTAACATATCAAATCGCCCAACAAATAACATGTGCAAACGTCACAATCATATAACAGATATGATATACGTTTTCAGCTTACTGATATTATATCACTCCAGAGGCTAAATTTTTTTTTTGCAAATAATTTTATTAGTTTATATGAGGTTCGAACCTGGGTTTTATTGAATTGTAATTGAAGTATTTTACCACTAGACCAGTACACTAGGACATTAAAGTACAATGAAATTCTTATATTTAAGTTATAAAATTTAATATTATTTCAATATAATGATATATTTTATAAATAATATATATTAAGGAAGGGGAAATTTTTGAAATGCACTAACTTATTCAATAATAATCAGAAAAATGCGAAACAAAGACCATTGTTATTTTTGAACTTATTTACACTACATACTAAAAATCGATTTTTGGGTAGTCCAATTTTGGGAATTTTTATATTAAAATATAATATTAGTTAATACATAGAAATTTGGTTAAATTCCAAAATATAGAAATACATTTATTAATAATACAAATTTCAGAGAATACCTTGATAATTTAATAAAAACAAATAATAAAAAATAATGTTAATTTAAATATTATGAAATTTAATTTTACAAATATTTTTTTTTTTAAATATTATTTGTAATTTATTTGTTTTCAAATATTTTTTTTTTATTTTTTTTATTTCAAATATTATTTGTAATTTATGCATGTGAACAAAGAACAGGAAATAAAACAATGTGAATATAGATCTGAAATTAGTTTTAAAGTGAAAACTATTAGAAGTGCGCCAGAACAGGCATATTGATACTACTTATATATAATAAAAAATCATTTAATAATTTTTTTTCCTAAATAATTT